TTTTTTTTTTTTTGCACGTCTGGTCATCTTACACATTAAGCCAGCATATTAAGCTAAAGCTCTTTTGCACACATCAGTTTCAAATCTCCATATTTTGTCTCCTTTTCTCTCTTCAGCTATTTATTTGTACTATTTGTATTTATATGTTCTATTTCTGTTGTATATATTAATCGGCATCTGTGGGTGGACATCAAAGCAAAGAAAGAATTTCATTGCACAAAGAAATGCCTTTTCTCTTGTGACACATGACAATAAACACTTTGAATCTTGAATCCCATGTGGTGGACTTCAGTAGGGTATTTCCCCCCCCCCCAGATAAATCCATATTCAGCTTAGATAAACGGAAATTTTAATTTCATTTTTCATGTTCAGCAGAGCTGGGGAAAGAAAGAAAAAATCAGCTCTGACATACTGTTACAAACTTACAGTGGTTCATTCCACCACTGTAACATGTACGAAGTCATTCTTTATGGAAATTAGAAGGGAAAATGTTTTATTTAATCTCTTCTTATCACACATTAAGGCTTTTCCTTTTTACACATTTCAACCACTTTGTTTTTTAATATTATGGTTAATGTTGTAATAGCACTGGTGCCTCTGTATCCATGCTGGGTCTGTGGCTATGGGGGATTTTCCCAAAAGTGACAATGTAGTGAGTCTCACCCTAGGGGCACAACAAGAGGGGCAGATCTTGACCACCTTGCCCTGCCCTCTCTCTTTCTCTCACACATTGCTTCCTCCTTAAAAAACCCGCTGGTAAACGCAAAGGGAAACTCCCAACCAAAAAACCTGAAGAATGAATATCTGACAAATAACTAAAACTTTTGCAAACAGCTTTACACCCACAACAGCAACATTTTGCAGAAAAAAAAATGTTGTGCTAAGCAGACTTTGATGAAGAAATTTTGAAACTCTTGTTTCTCCTTGTATCTTTATTTTGAGGGAAATAGGGGCGTTTTTGTGGTTTGCCGACTGCTTGTCCCAAAGGAAAAAAACAAAAAACAAAACACAGCACTCTCAGGTCTGTGTTTAGATCCGTCTCCACATTGGAAACCAGTTCAGTCTTGGGACTTTTTTCCTGATCATTTGATTGAAAACCAGAGCGCTGGTTTATAGCAACTGGTTCCAGTTTTGTTATGTGCGTGAGCCATTTTATGTAGCGTGTCCTGCATTCCAGCAAGGCAATTTTCAAAACTGCTCTGGTCACCCCCCCCAGCACTGTCTCTTGCTAGGTGGTCCATGAGCCACTCGCTTTTCCTACCTCACGAGTCCTCAGCTGGAAGTTTTTCCCTTCATGGTAACAGTTGTACGTCTTCAGCAGTGACAAGATATCAGACCTGAGCATGAACACACAAAAGGATGAATCAGTTCTAAAAGTGAGAGCACTGATAAAAATTTAATAAATGTGAATTTCTACTGTAACGTAAAAACTGTCCAGTGATGGAGCAAGGAGCACTTACTTTGGTATGAGTTTCTCCTCACTGAGCTTCACGTAGGTCTGATGCGCACTCATTCTGATTAGAGTGCAGCTGTGGCAGAAAAACATCAAACACAAAAATTAAAATATGCATGTGATGCTAATGTACCAATAATTTTGACTGTGAGAGTCTGTGTGGATTTAAGCAGTGAACAGAAACGCAGAAATACAGTTAAAGCATATAATGAGTGCAACTTAGTGTTATTTGCTGTCATACTTTTTCCAAAGTTGGAGATCTTTGGGATGTTTTTTCCTCTTGTAATGAAAAGGATTTAAAATATTTGCTCCGGTGTTAAGGGCAAGGACAGTGGTTTAGGAGAAATCACATGACATTGGCATGCAGCCATCATGTTGTATCATGTTGCAATAGAGCAGCGCAAATGGCAGAAAACAACATCTTAATCTAATTAAGGGGTTAATGGCCGCTTCAGTGGGCATCTTATGTGTAATTATAAGTAAAACAAGCGGACAAGAAAAAAAGACAGCAATCGCTGCATCATTTTTGTCTGTGTCACTTGTGTCGTCTTCTTTTTTGTTTCAGAATCTAGTGGACAGCACAAAACAAAAGGGAAACCTATTAATCAATGGGTGCTTTTTTTCTGGCAAAAGCAGGAGAGATGTCCCTGATCCTTGCCCAGATTCCTGTATCCTGATACTGTGGATGGACGGTGGTACAGGGAAATTCCTCGCTGGGAAAACACACCACGTGGGGGAGGAGCATGAGTATAAAGCAGCCAACATGTGGTTCTGGGCTCAGTGTCAACGTCCTTCAGCATGAAGCTTAATCCTCAGTCCGTCTGTGCGTTCGCTATCCTTAGCCTTTGCTGTGTACTGATCACAGGTAAGAGTCTTTTCACTTATTCATGCTTACAACTAAAACTCACTCTTTTTCAGGGTTTTCAGTAACTTAACCTGTGCTGTTGGTTGGACTGAGCTGACTTTTGATCTTATTACAATTTCTGTGCAGTGAGAGAGTCAAGCAGCACATTTATCCCGGGGAGATGTGTTTGTCCAAAAACACAACAGGGTGTCAGAGGTCAACTGAAGGCACTCAAAGTGTTACTACCAAGCTCCACTTGTCACAACGTCACAGTCATGTGAGTACCAGATACTGCAGACACACTTTCACCTCTTCAGACCTGTGTGCACTGAGGTGATTGTAAACTAAAGGTGTTGTTTCGTGCGTTTTTCAGAGTCACCCTGCAAAGAAACAATAAATCACTGTGCCTGAATCCAGAAGCGCCGATGGCCAAACAGCTGATTCGCTGCTGGCTTAGGTGAGATTTATCTGTTTGTCACTGGTCAGTAAACTAATGAACACATAGGGGATACACCCGTCTTCAAAGTTCCTGTAGATTGCAACCAACAGTGTCTTATAAGTTGCCCAGCCGGTTTTTGTAACAAAGCACTGTACTGCTACTTAATCTTTCCTACTGCTTTGCTGCTTGAGAATCAGTAACAAATTTCAGTTTCAGGTGAATTTATTGCACAACAAATGAATACAAATTTCTATCAGAAGAAGAAAAAGGGTCTGATATTAAGTACTGATACTTAATGCTGGATTTTCTAAGCTCATCTTTTTCTTAACTGTGCTCCTTTATGTTTTTCCCCCTCCAGAGTTCAGCAGTTGGGTCGTGATGCAAAACTGTGTCTACAAAGGAAGAAAAGGAGAGGGGGCCAACGCCAGCAGACTCGACAGAGGAGAAAAGGCCAAAACAGGAAAGTCTCATCCTGAGACTCTCAGTAGCTAGTCAGACTAAGGAAGGAAAAAAATGACACCAAGTATGTACAGAGGAGAAGTGTGCGCAGGGGAGAAACTACTGTAAGGCCACTTGTGTCTTTTCTCTCTCTTTATGTCATTGCAGACATTAAGCTTCTTTAAATTGTCTAAGCTCTACATCAAAGTCTCCTTATTATTTCATTCTTAATGACTATGTATTGAAGATGTATTGAAGCAAAGCCCTGGAGGCTCATAAATGAAAAAACAAGTCCATGGTTCTGTATATGCAGCTGGGAAGACCAACTCGAGATTTTGTAGTTTATATTTATACGACTGCTTGATGTTTTATACTTTATTTTAAATAAACATATCTGAACAATTCTGTGACTGTGTTATTTTGGCTTAAGCCTTTGATATTCTTAATAATTGAAGGAAAGGAAAGGGATTTTATTCCTTGGCAGGATATGCGAGGTCACCGAGCAGACAGCCTCAGCTTAAGCTAATAAACTAAAGGATTCAAGTCAGCTGCAGGAATAAAGCAAATTGTTTTCACTTAAACTTTGTATTGGTATCCTAAATTTATAACCTATAACTAACCACGTGTTGTTTTTATAATCTGGATGCATGACATCCTTTTCCATGGCTCTTACCTGAGAGAATCCCTAACGTAAAAGCAATGGAGAAACTGATCACCATTACGGTGCATAGTGGTTATTGTGTATGCTGAATTTTATGACTACAATGGTTGGTGGTGTTGCACAATAGATGCGGAAACATCTAGGTGATCAGGGTGTGGATTTTGTAATGTTTTATGATAGCTAGTTAAGCTCAAAATCCATTTGAGATTTCGTGTAAATCATGTGACACCCTACTGGAGTCAAAGCAGAATATACAGACACAGAGAGAAACTTCAGCAATAAATACTTTTTCTTGCACAGCATGAGCTGAATAAGTGAAGCATGCACTGACCTGTACCATTTCCCCCTCCCAGTGTTTAAAGAAGAAAAAAAAGTAGAAGTATGTGAGCTAATATGGAAAGTGAAAGTTCTCAATAACAGCACCTTTGTCAAAGGACAGAAGTTAATTTTAGGGACTTTTCTTATCTGTTGTGGGAAAGTGGCGGTTCCTTTGGAACCAGGTATTTATTAGGTATGACAGGATTCTTGTAGATGATGCAACAGGATAACAGTATTGGTAGAGAGCTATAGAAGTACTCAGTACGTTTATAGTTTAATTATCTTTACCATATCACATGCACTAAAATACACTAAAGGGTTTTTATGAGAGGCAAGTAAAGGCCAAGGTGTAAAGTAATATCTACATTTCACCAACAGCTAATGAAGAGGAAAGAAGTACAACACTAGGAAAAGGGAAAACAAAAAAATATAGTGATTGAAAAAACACAACTGAAAATGAATTGTTATTCTAAACTTCAATGCTAACTACTTAAAAAAGAAAAATCTTGATAGTAATCTTGGCCCTTTATACAAACCGCTTAATACATTTAAGGCTTGTGGTTTTTTCCCCCTCACCTGATAACATACTACATTTATAATATAATCTTATGATCAGATAAGTAAAGTGAAAAAAACATGTCTTATCCTCACCAAGAACATGTTTATGCAACACACAGATTAGTCACCTATGACGTAGATGATGCTATGGTGCCATCTAGTGGCTATTGCAAGATAGAACTTATGAAATCTTAAAGCAGTGTGGTTCCCGCTTAATGTGCCACACTCAATTTATTATGTACACCTGCCCCACAGTTCTTTATGCAAATAATCATATACCAGCAACTAAATACATTTAAGCATATAGATATGGTCAAGGTGACCTAGTGAAGCTCAAAGCTTTGAATGTACTTTAAATGTTGCATGGTTGTTGGCGCCAGACAGACATTGGGGTTTACAGAGAATTATCTGAAAGGGAGAGAAGTAGCATTTCTCTGGGGAAAATGTCTTGCTGATGCAAGAGATCAGAGGAGCATGACCAGACTGCTTTTAGTTGATAGGAAGTAACTCAAATAACAGCTTATTAAAAAGAAGGTATATAGGTACCTTAAAACAGATGGGATCCAGTAGCAGATACCAGAGTGGGTTCAGCCAAGGATAGAAAACTAAGGCTACAATTCACACAGGCTGATCAAAACTGGTAAATAGAAGATTAGAAAAATGTCACCTGGCCTAATGACCCTCTATCTCTGCTGCAAAATTCAGAGGGTTTGCGCAAACGACATTTAAGCATGGATCCAACCTGCCTTGTATCAGCGGTTCAGTCTGGTGGTAGTGGCTGCTTCCAGCAGGATAACACACCGTGTCACAAAACTCCGATTTTTTTCAAACTGGCCTCTTGAACACAGGAGTGACTTCACTGTACTCAAATGGCCTCCACAGATCTTAATCCAATAGAGCACCCTTGGAATGTGGTAGAATGGGAGATTTTCATCATGATGTGGTGCTGCAGCAACTTTGTGATGTTATCCTGTTAACATGGACCAAAATCTCTGAGGAATGTTTCCAGCATATTTTTGAATCTATGGCTCGAAGAATTAATGAAGTTCTGAAGGCAAAAGGTTGTCCAACACAGCACTAGGAAGGAGATAAAGTGAGTACTCAAGTATATACTCACTCACCACTAATCTCTGAGTATAAATATCTATAATGAGCCAACCTTTATTTACAGGGACTGCAGTCTCTTTCACACCACCAGGAGACAAAGGCAGCTTTGTGTGCAGCATTAGTGCAGATTTGACTTTAAAAACAAAACAAAAACAAAAAAACACAAATGTCTGAGCTATTTTTTGGTCTCAGTACTTCCTGAGATTTTATCACATGACAAAAAAAGGGAAGTTAATCAGTTAAAGTAATGCTGTGTGACTTATTTATAATAAATACTGTTCCACTTTGATACACTTCATTTCAATCTGGAACTGGCCCATTCATGATGACTTTATTATGAGTCATTAAATCTTTTATTCTCAGAATCAAGGGAGGCAGATCTTTCTGAAAAGAAACCTCAGTCATACAGGAAATGATTTTTTTCTAGATCTTTAAGCAAAAACAGAACTTTGTCCGGTAGAGGAGAAAAAAAAACAGAAGAAAAAATGCTTGCATGAGCAGTGTTAGCCACCACAGAAATCAGGAAACAGACTGCCCCATACTGTCTGACTGGGAAGTGATCTCTGGGAGGTGATTCAACCAAATAATAGGAATAAAAAAACTAAACAAAATAGAGAGAAGTTAAAGATATAACCTTAACAAAATCCTCCTGGTTTGGGTTTAAAGAATCGACAATTAAGTCCACATTTATTTCATGCATTACTGAGGCAACAACCCCTGTCCTACCTCCCCCTTTAATGACCTCTGCCCATCGCCAGCTTCAGCTAAGCAATGTGCTGACAAAGTATGTGCATACAGAGATGGTCAGTCTACCTCTCATACATATTTATACACAATAATGGGTTTATAAATTTTCCATAACTTAAAGGTTTCCAGTCTGTCACCATTATTATGAATTATTCAACAATCACAAATGGCTATACGGTAGATGGGCCAAACGCTGTGCGATGAAAATTCATTTTATTTGGCTGGGCTCGGGTTTCGGTGAATTTGCGTCGTCTGCGTTTTCTCAGCTTTTCTCTCCTATTCATGCATCATCTTTGTGTGCAAGCTTCCTCGGTGGACAAAGAGCTTTCATTGCAGGTTTGCTAATTGGTTTGATCATCGCGAGATTCGTATCCAATTATCACACCTACACCGGCAGCTGCGCCCGAAGACAATTCAGTCCCACGCGTAAAATGACACGGAGAGCTCCAAATAAAGCACTCAATGAATGAGTTTCCGAAACATATCTCAACAAAAAAGTATAAATTTAAAATGCTAATGAGGCAAAACACTGATCGGCAAATCACGGCTGACTTAGAGCTTTAACGATAACGAACGCGGTTTCTAACAGCAAATAGTAGATCACATGAAGGCTAACGGAAAGTTTCTTATACTAGTCAATACTCCCAAAAGCAAAAGACAAAACAAAGCGTAATTTAACCTGTATCCAACTTCTGAGCATCTCTTCTTATCAGACTATTTTTATTTGTTCCGGGCTTTTATTGCAGGATGAAAGTTATTGTGCCTTCTTTAAACGTAACTAAACATAAACTGAATCATTTTGAGCCTTACCATAACAGAGTGCGTCCCCGTTTTCTTCCGTATCACCAGCGTTATATGCCTCTTTTCGTTATCAGTTTTCATGCCTCCTTGGCAGTGCGGTATTCTGAGCCGAGAGATAAAGGTGACATCCTGAATATCCAATAGCAGCCCGCGTTGATACACCGCAGCCAATCACACTCGAGCATAGGCGGGCTGAAACAGGGCTGCATACCTCTCCCTTCTTGATCAAGGTGGCTCTGGGGCTTTGCTTTAATCCTATCAGCCAGAAGTGTTTTAAATTGTGGTCTTCGCCACACTAAGGGTGTTAAGACTCAGCTCTAAGACTATAAAGGTTTAATTTAGAGCTTTGATTGAAAGTTATATGGGTTAAGTGAGATTTGTATAAAAAACACATGTTATCCATGCAGCATATTTTGGTTTCTATTGAACTGTTGAACACAATTGACACTAAATGATAAATAATGTATTCGTAGAGTATTCTTGTTGCTGGATGTTTGTTTTCCATATGGGTAACAAAATGTAGTTTTGGTTTATTTGCTATCGAGGGTGAATTTTAACTTCAATATCCACTTCTGAGATATATTCTTTAAATTCTTTCTGCTGTTACATATTTAGTGACAGGAAAAATCTAATTGGTTTACGAACACCACCAACAACGACCCACTCTGCTGTATTTTTCCAGCTAGAGGAAGAAGTTCCTGTGACCTGTTAAGATTTTTTTCACCCATCCTGTTTTTGAGCCTGGATCTGCCATCTAGGAAACTATTGCAGGGTGGAAACACAAACTGTAGGAAGTGCTTCTCTCTCTGTGTCTGAATAGGATTCATGATTTATGCACAGAGGAAGTAAGTTGTTCCAGCAGCTGAACGACTTCCCTCATTCTGACGGATGTGGACATGACAAAGCTGCCGGAGCGCTTATAGAAGAGGGCGAGAAATAGTGCCGTTCTTTTCCTCCCGTCTGTTTATAGGTCAGTCAGCTGCTAATTGAACAAAGATCATTGTGAAGATAATAATAAAGCTCAGGTTATGGGCCAGTGAGCAGCCTCAGCAAAATCCAGACAAAGACTCTGTTCTTTCCACAACACAGGCGAAGGTCTCGTCTCTCTGGAGAGGATACACATGTCATGACATAAAAACATATCGAAGCTATTTATGACACCAGGTGATACCATGCTGGGTTGTGTAACTTTGTGAGAAATATGTGGAATAACCCTGTTGTTTAACCTTCAGGTTGTTCATGCTATCTGGCCTCAGTTCTCGCTGAGGTGCCTTCTGATGAATAGGGCTCTCTGTTTACATCGATTCTCTCCTTAGCTGTGATGCCACAGAGAGGTTTCCTCTAAGGGCTACATACAGTTATATATTTATTGTACAGTGAACAAAAGACTGAGGAATACCCTGTGTGTGTGGAGTGTGTGTGTTTTGACAGAACAAGGCAATATTGATTTATGACCTGAACAAAAGAGGAATGCCCATGTAGAGTCTCACATCCTTTGTAGCTCAATAAAATAAAAAGGAAAACAATAGAAACATCAATACAGGCTTTTTTCTATTCACTTTTGAATCATAATTATAGTAAAAATAAGTGCAATTCAAACTGCCTGATTCACTCTTAGTGCTCACCATATGACCCTTTATCGATAAATAATTTACTGTGTTTGGCTAGACGTGTTTTGGGTGAAGCCTGTAGCCGTGCTTTGGGTGAACGATCTGATGTTTCTTTCATCACCATATTAACATGAACACTCCTCCCAGAGCTCTGTCTCCATGGTCACCGCTCGCACACGACAAACACACAATGAGGGCCGACGCATGCACCTGCACAAGCTCCACTGCCTGCTATACTCTCAGTCACATTTGCACATGTTTTCTCTGAATGAGTGAAACAGTTGATCTAATTTATGACCTTATGAATAATGTATGTGGCAGTAACTGGATGGGATTGCTGGGCATTAATGTCTGCTCTTCATTCAGTGCTGTCTTTGACAAAAACAACAACAACAAAAAAATAAAAAAAACAGGCCTTAATCCACCCACATGCACATGTTGGTACAAATGGTTTCATTTATTTGAGTGCATGCATTTGAAACTCCAACTTTTAAATTTGTACAAGACTCCAAAAATATACAAATCAGTCAAATATTTCATAAAAATCAATTTTTTTTATAGCTTAATCACATAAAATAAACCTTATTGTGGAAGACATTGGTGCTTTCTACAAAAAGTTGGTTCAAGACCAGCTGGTTGTACAGAGTATGCGTGAATGCATTATTCTTTATACATCATTTCCATTGTGTGTTATCAGTAAGCACAGCGACATTCAGTCAGTAATCATAGGTGCAGTGTCTGAGGTGGTGTCTGGCTCACAGTATCCATCCATCTCTTCCATCTCCCTCTCCACAGGCTCCTCCCCACTTCTAAAGCATATTAGTCTCTTCTCTTTCCACCTCCTCCTCCTTTCCCCATCTGTGTCTTTAGGTGCTGTTGTCTGCTCCAGCTCCAGCATAGCCTGGATGCTGTCTCCTCTCTCTCCGGTGCTGAGGCAGTTGTCTCTGCTTGTTGGTGCCAGCCCCTGCCCTCTCCTGCCTGTCACCATATGGAAGAATGAGAAGGTGCCGTCTGAGCCCGTGCTTTCTGTCACAAAGACAGCAGTTGGGCCTTGGTTGCTGAAGCTCTCCTGCGGGCTTTTGGGAGGTTTGGTCTTTGTTTTCTTGCTCAGTATGAAGTTGAAAAAGGCTGTCACCAGAAGCATTGTTCCTGAAGTTAGAATAATAATGTCACCATTAATTTTCTATGCTACATCTATGCTTTTTATGCTTTTCCATGATAGGAGCATCTGCTGCTGAAATGCCACAGCAACAGGAAACAGTAATGTGAAGTATTGAACTTGCTGGTGTTGTTTTACCTGGGATGATTGCATGCCACACCAGCACAGGGTGCAGGAAACAGACCACTGACATGATGGAGTAGTATAGGAACTTATGAAAGCCTCCAATGCGAGCCATCTTCCCCCACAGTAAAAACAACTTCCAGTCTGGAGGGCAGCTGTAGAGATATCAGGCAAGAAGGCAAGAAAAAAGTCAGCATTACTTTACATTATTACAGTTTAGACTGCAGTTTAGACTGCAAAGTTCAAAGTTTGAAAACCTCAAAGAATTGTGAGTTATCTTTGCTACAGTAGCCATGAGGGTTGTGTACTCACGGCAGACACATGGACAGGAGAGAATCCAGGAAATAGGCTAGTTCAAGAATCATGATCCCAATAAATGAGACTCTGGGGGAAGAAATTGGACAATGATGATATACTCAGTAATTTCTACACTAAAAAAAAGCAGCTGCAAGTGCTCAAGATACTACCCTACACATGGTAAAGAAAACATTTGTGACAACTGCAATTTTCTTGTATTTAGTTTACAATTATCTAATCCAGCAATAGAGAAAAATGCACCCAGACTAACCAGTATTACACACTAACCTCTTTTAAGTGTAATTGGTGTGTTGTGTGTTACTGTGTGTGAGGACAGCATCCATCTGCACTAACTTTATGTGTAGTGATTGAATAAACAGTCATTCGTTTCTAGTGTCCTTGGAGAGATGTTTTCCGTTGTCTCTGTGGGAATTTGTCTCTGTACTACAGAGATAATAATAAGAATCAGAAGATGTCCTCTGTTCTGCCCTCTGCACCCTGCTTCAACTTTCTGAGTCCTTCCCAACAGCTCCTCTCAAGTGTGTTTATTTATCAGAGACTATAAAAGCATGTGCAGTGTTTTTCTAAACCATCTTCTTAAAGCCCTTGGGTCTTTAGCTTTGCCAGCTTTCAAAACCAGGCTGTGTATTTGTAACTCAAGAATGCCACCAGAGTCAGGAGTGCTTGTAAATCCCATCAGTAAGTCAAGAAGTAGACTCAAAAAGTAAGCGCTTACATTAGATAGATGCCAAGGCTGTTGAATTCTCCCTGATGTAGTGTTTCCACTCCCACAGCACATAACACTGAAAAAGACACGGGACAATAATTCAGCTTAATTCATGGATTTGTTGGTGAACAGATTCTGTCCACCAGATGTCAGAGTAAGTTCATGAATTTTTCTGTGCTGGATGCTGGAATGCAGCCCAAGGTAACCTTCTGTAAATGCTCTCAGTACTTTCACTGGGATTAAACACTCTGTGTGGCGTTTTCAGTGTTCTTTGGATTTATTTTTTTACCATGTCTTTCATATTTTGCTTTAAAAGTTGTCTCTATAGTGTTCTGTCAGCCACAGTAATTTAAAGCCGACTGAATGTTTTCCTCAAGAAAAGGGCAACTGTCTGTAGCACAAGGAATGCAACTTAAAGTCACATTTACATACCACAGGAATGGTGGTACTGACCTAGTGATGTACATTAAAGGTATTTAAAGATGCTTAATTTAAGCAATTATTGCAATTGTTCCTGTCATGGTCATGAAACTTTGGTAATAACTTACTCATGCTTGCAATTGCCATACCAATGTCAGTAGGTAATTTTACTTGAGTGGACATATCACACAGTCACAGTCATGGCTAATGCCATAAAACGCCATCAATCCATGAGATCTATGCTTTAGCATCAAGATAGTAAATCTCTTCAGCAGATAATGCTAACTGTGACTTAACTACACTTCTATATGGTAAATGTCAAACTAATGCCAGCAGTTGGTTAGTTTAGCAAAAATGCTGGAAGCATGGGTAAACAGCTGGCTTGACTCTGTCCAGATGTAACACAATCCACCAACCAGCACCATTCAGTGTTCCTTTAACAGGAAGTTCTCCCAAGCTGTGTGCTGACAACAATAAAATACCTTTCTTGCTACATGAAAGGGCACTACTGTCCTGGTGTGACACAAGATAAGAAATGACATGACAGCAACATTTTTACAATTTTAAACAAAAGTGCATTTTATTAACCAGTCATCCTCTTGTGAGATAAGCCCGGTTAAATGGGGATTGCTGCCAAACACATGGAAGCACTTTCTCTGGCCTGCTTACCAGAAATCAAGAGATTCAGTGATACAATCTGCAGCAGAGGGAAACTCGGGTAATGTGGCTAAATGGTTTCTAGTAGTTTGGAGAGTATGCAAGGATTTAAAGCTGCATATAGAGCAGCTGGATATTAACAGAGCTGCTCCCTGCATGTACTGAGAGCATGTGGAACACACACAGACACCAACAGGCCAACCCAGACATGTGAACTCATAGCAGACTGCCAGCCAGAGGCACACACACATAGACATTTACCAAAAATAGACTGATACACACACGCACACATAAAAATAATGCACAGAAAGCTCATGTAGGCGCGAATGCACAACAGCTTGTGATCACATAATCCCAATAACCCAGCTGGACACAGAGACTGTTTGTGTCATTTGTGGCACATGCTTCTCAATAAATATTCAGTGTCTGCAGATGTTTGAATTTAAGTGTGTGTGTGGGGGGGGGTCCCATATTTTTCTGAAGGAAGCAACAAGCAGACAGCTTTTATGATGATTTACTGAGGCAAAGAGAGCTTTGTACAATCTGTCCCTGTGTGTCTGAGGAAAACAGAAAAGGAGGGACAATAACGTAAATCAAGTGTATGCTCTATATATCAGCCAAGACAGGGTTTAGTGCTCTTGGAGATCAAGACTATGTCACAGTCTGACCTTTTAACATTGTTTTTAAAGACATGATGGGTGCCTCTTCCCCTGACGAGATGTTTTAAGATTTTTTGAAAGATCTATAGGTGCACCCAAAGAATCTGGCTCATACTAAAACGAGAAGAGACACACATGACGCTAAATGAAATCTTTTGCTTTTCTCTGCTTCTTTTCATATTTATGTCTTACCTGTGGATGTAGAAATGCCAAGGAGCCTGCAGGTGCACTCGACTACAATCCACCATATTCTCTCTAAGCTCCCCATGACCTCAAAAATTTCACCTTTGTAAAATATATATATTTTTTCCCAGTGCCTGATCGTTATAAAAGTAGCATTCTAGATGCGTAGTTGAATCCTGGCTAGATGAACAGATGGTAGAAAAGCTAAAACAGAGCAATGCAGCACTTCCATGATGTGGAGCCTGTTACCTCATGAAGGTTTGTGACTGAATGCCCCTGTTGCTGCAGTAACTGCTAACCCACACACACACACACACACACACACACACACACACACACACACACACACACACACACACACACACACACACACACGTCAAGGAGAAATTATTGAGCTCAAGGTAACTTGCTGACCATTTTACATTTGTCATTAAAGCTGGTTAAAAATTAAATCCATTAAAAACCCATCTAGTACCTGATCCAAAGGTATTTATTTTATAAGCTGGAATGCAGAGAAGATCACTGACCTTGCTTTTCACCCAAATAATTTCTTCTCCTCTCTTTATAACATGTTTTCTTTCATCTGATTTCACCTTATTGTGAGGTTGTTGGTGATTCAGTGCAACCAAACCATCTGAAAGACTTCAAACAAACACCATCTTTTTTTCAAACCCACACTTCAACATACAGCCATCATTTTGGCACCCACTGATCCCAACTTTGTCTCAGCAGAGTGAGCACTGATGAAATATACAGCGGCTTGCGTCAGTAAAGAAAAGGACATTTTTTATGGGTTTGCACATATTATAAACAAACTGCACTTAGTGTGCAGTGCAGTGCATGCCCGATTGGCTCGCTGCACTTAGTGAAGAGTGGCTACAATGGTATAAAAACAAACAGATACCTTTTGACATACATTCAAATGTAGCTCACATAATCAGGTGACGCAGGTTTCAATGAGGTGTAAGCTTGTTCAGGCACAGCAGAGGCCTACTGGAACAAGCAAGTCAGATTTGCAGAGTTCACACAGGCATACCCACACTGACTCCTGTCAGGGCCAAAGTAAGCTGCATAAATCTTCTTAATCTACAACAAAGACACTTTTGTGTTTTTGTACCAGTTCAACTTGTTTCCGGATATTTGTGGCATTTATGGTATTGAGTGAGTGTGGATGAACTGTGTGGCAAAAACAACAGATACTAAATGTGTAACAACAAATCCAACTGTATATTTGGTGCCACTTTTTGAAGGGAAGGCAACATCGTTCAGATTGTTCATGTCTTGTGTGACTGAAATGTCTGTGATAGTTTTTACAAACACTGGATAAGATCCAGTGATTTTTTCATGTGTGCTACGAACAAAAATTTCATTGACATTTGTTTATATGTCATTGTAACTTTTAGGACACACAGTCATGTCCCCTGTCTGAAGGAAGTACAGCAAGATCCTCGGGCGAGTTTCCTTTTGCCACAAACTTGGATTGTGACCAAACAGTGCAGACGCATAATGATGCATTTTTGCGTGGTACTATAATATAAGGATCCTAACAGGCTAAACTAAGATGGAAAACATAGGAAATAGCAAATATCATAGGTTACCTATGCAACATCAGCATGTCCACATTGTTGATATGAACACATCAGCATGCAATGATGTTCAAAGCACTGCATAGAGTCTCTATAGCTAAAGACAGACAGTTTTTTTTTGTATATTCACATTGTATGCAGATCGACTTTAGAAATCCTGCAAGAAAGGATCCAAAATGCATTTGATTATTTGAGGTTTTCACTGACCATAACCCTCAGATATGTCATCACCATGATGTCACCCACTGGTTTGTCTGTTTCTGCTTTGAAACCATGGGTGAAATGATTTGACGGTCACCATCTAATTTTTTCTAAACTGGAAATGAGGAGTGGGAAACTGTGAACACTACAAACTCACACAGTAGCAGCTTTCTAGCCTTTTCATTTATTTTGCTCTAAATAAGACCATATTTCACAAAATAGCAATTGTGTGCTGTTAAATAATACTTGTAAAGAATGACTGAGACTTTAAGCTGACTGAGAAAGTGTTTATTGAGGCAATAAATCACAAGAATGATTAGGTTCTCTTATTGGCTTCTTTTCTTTGCGATTTCATTTTGAAACCAGAGAAGACGCCCCCTGCTGGTCTGGGGGAAAAGCATTTCAGCAGTGACTTCTCTTTTTAGAACGGCCATACTTTACGTAACTCTAAATCGTCTGTGGTCTGGATGCTTCTCCTCTGGGGTCTCTAATACTTTTGGATCACAGAAACCAATTTTGTCCATAGTCTGTGCTATTGTGCGACTGTAGCCAAACACTATGACCTCTCAAATCGGATTTCAAAGTGTCTTTTGTGTCACTCGCATCGGCACGCACAGTGACATTAAACAAACACAACAGTTTAACCACACATTTAATGCAATTGTGTTGATGAAAGAAAAAAGGGGGGTAGAGAAAATCTTGTTTAAACAACATGCATGTTTAGACTGCAGTGCATTTTTGCACATGAACTACACACGCTTGAGGGAGGAGGAATGTGTGCTGTTAAGTGCCATCATGGCCACAATGGGCAGTGTGTGTATGTTTATTTGACTCTTATGATGACATATAAACAGCCTTATAACTACATAATTTATGGTCATCAGTCACTGTGTAGTGTTTGGGGATCCCTGCAGACATTTACTGTACATCATGAGTTACATGGCAATCATTTGGATATGCCAGAGGGTGGAACAGTTTAAAGAATTGAGTGATCGCCATCTGAGATTGTAAATCTAGTGTTACAGTATAAATACAGTCTCATGGTTTCATTTGGCCCGTGCAGCTATATGGACACATGTCCTCTTTTAACATGGCTCAGTTTGACCAACTGAGCTTCTGTTCAGACTTCACGTTCTCACGTTCTCTCACTCTGTAATCATCTCTGCTTTATGCATCCTCACCATTCTCATCATCTCTGCTTCACACCATTCTCTTCAGCCTATGGCAGTGAGACTTGAGATTAATTGTACCTTTTTTCAACCACATTCCCCCATCTAGCTACTCTCAGTCTGGAATAGTTGTCTGGTGCCTTTCTGAACCAGTGAAAACAGCTCTAATCCTAATTAAACCAGCAACTTTATTGGCCTGTTCTAATGGTTTGCTCAGACAATATCTCCATTATCCACTTTATCTCTGACATGCTATTTTATCCAAAGGTTAAGCTGTGAGGATTGACTGAATTAATTCCACTGTGATACATGATAGAATATGAATATATAAACATAGCTGTATCGAATCTTAGTATTAAACCACACAGAGGGATTAATCTCTGCTTTCATGGATCCTAATGACTTCATTTACAAATGCACGGAGTCCCCTAGTGGTTGAGAGGTACTGGTACACTGCAGCCCTGAATGACCTGTATGGTCATTGTCCATCAGATCCATGAACTGAGGGAGATATTTACATGATGACACTGAGCAGGAAAAAGTCATTTTTAAGCTCTTCTAAAAATACATTTCTAATTATACCTAAAGGTCAACAGCATTAATCAGAAAGATGAAGTACAGACATGGGAAACATCAGAAAAATATGTGGTTGTGAAACAATCAAAAAAATATGGAAAGTTTCGGGAACCGTAAAAGGGTGTTTGCACTTTGATTTGGTCAGATGAACCACTTTTTAAAGAAGGCATTGTAGCGTTTGTGTGCTGTACAGTGCTGCCCACAAAAAAGCTAAATTCTACATCCCGATGGATGAAATTAATTTTAGCTTGAGTCCAATATCGATTGTCATCTTAACTCTTCTTTGGTCTCTCTCCTAGAAAATTTAATTGAAAACAACTGAGAGCAAAAGCATTTCTTACTCAAGCCACATCATACTAGTGGCCTGTATGGTGAGATATGGGCTGAGGTTTCAGTGCTACAAAGGCTCACTTCTTAGTGAGATATATTACAGTTGCTATTTGTGCTACAGCCCTAACCAGCTCAGGGATAGGTTGAGTTTTAACATTAGTTATTAGAGTGTGTAAAAACACAGCCTATAGACCAACCAACCAGTTATCTGGAAAATAGTGTCCCCTTGCCTAGAAGATCATTAAACTCTCTGATGAGCCACGTGTGGAACTCAGGGCTGCTCTGTATAGGTCTATCATGAGGGAGTCTGTAGTTTTTGGAGAAAGTCTAGCTTTCCCTGATGAGTATCAGTGAGATAAAGATTCTCAAAGACGTGAGCTTTATTCCTGGCTTCATTTATTTCCCCGGCTGGCAAAAACATTTCATCATTCTATCAGCATTTTTCTAGCAGCATTAAAGCTCCAATGTTTGAAGGTAAGCCTGCTTACTGGTTAAAATATTTTTCTTATTTGTGCTTCGTTTGCACAGCATTTGGTCTTACACACCCCAGGATAATGGTACATGTAATCTAAGAATTAAGCTAATGTAAATACATGTTTGTAATTGAGATCTACCTTCAGGAGTCACTGATTGATAAGCCCATTAACTTACACATTTAACATTTCTTTTGCCAACTTTTCTTCTTAGCCTTGGCTGCAGCAGCAGTATTGCTTTCAGCCCCTCATATATTTTCAAATTCCTCATATTTCTTTCATAGATGCTCTCTTTTGAGAAATATTGTATGTTACTCTAAACTTGTCCATGTTTGGTCCTCTGGTGCCATCTTGTCCCTTTCATGTTATCGAGCTCGGATAGATTCACAAAACCTGCGCTGACTTATGGAGTTCATAACCACGTTTATGTGACTGATTAGGGTTGATGCTGATATTAGGCTCAGCAAAGCCACATTACTGAAAAAACATCATTGGTATTGCTTTGTAGTACAAATTCTCACATACCAGTGAATTGTGCATATAGTGAGAGTTCATCGTTAGCTTCTCAGTCTGAGCACAGCTGGATAAATGCGCTGTTACATAAATACTTAACCCCAATCTTTCTCCTTCAAAGCTAATGTTAAGCTAATGTGTTAAGGTTTTAATTTAAACAGATTCACTTCTTCTGAAGTACAATCCCAATTCTGAAAAGGCTTCAATAATAAGCAAATCTCATAAACCTGTATTTTA